TTATGTCGATATGCCTAGACTGACTTTGTGATTCGATGAAATACCGGAAAACTGGTGAACGTAAGGTAATTAAGTGCATACAATACAAACCCTTGCATTAACCGGAATGTTTTGTAGCCAATATGAAATATACCGCGGATTAAGCCTATATTTATATGTATGGGGTCGTGTCGATTTCAATTTAGTTTAAGTGCTCTGTGTTTATTTAGATTTTTTTATAGCATTTAAAGCTATTGTTAAAAAAAGTAATGAAAAAAAAGTACAGTAAACATTTTATATCCCGATCGGGGTTTTAACTCCTAACTTAATCTTCTTGTATCTTGTATCTTGTATCTTGTATTAACTGATGTTTTTGTTTTCAGTCCCGAGACTATTAAAGCTTCATCTTACGCAGAACCGGTGGGCTAGCCAGAACCCACGGGTTTGGGCCCTCCGCTGTGGGTAGGTCCAAGCATGTGCTCATGCACTTAAATCTTACATTGTCGGTACACGCAGAGGCGATTGTCTATTGGTTACGTAATTATCATGCATTAGCGACATCTGGCGCCTACAAGTGGCAACTGAGCAAACGGACTGAGAGTAAAGAAGTGTACTTTAAATAGCTATTGTGGCGACAAGCGCTCGAGTGGAGATATTGTGGACATTGGGTGCCTACACGAGTAGAAGGTATGCACTGCCCAGAGGGAACTATTGTGAAAATGCTCCCTACCTGAACAGTTAGGAAGCTTTAAGCATTACCGAAGTAAAAGAGATCTGGATAAAAGAATATAAGACTAAAGTGTTACGGAAATAGGGAAAGAGAGAAAATATTTTAACTATAAAATGTAAGCATAAGTGATATACATGTAACAAAACTAAAGGCTGTGCATTTTTTATTATTCAATAAAATAAAATAAAGTTTCGTTTGTAAAAGTATGTGATTCGTTATCACTCCCTATTGATGTTTTTAACCAAAGACGTATTGATAACGTACCCATAAAAGTGTCTATGCTTATCTCACTCAATAGATGAAACCTTAATCTATTAACGGTTCTACTTACACTAGTCTTTTGTGACGTCATGGTATTTCGTCGGACAAGACAACTCATACACGGAATAGTAGATACCGTTATATTATGACAATGCGACACAAAGACAGATTTAGGTTTTGAAAGAGTGCGAATATAACAGACATAGAAAGTATCTATGTCTGTTATATTCGAACTCTTTCAATTAGAAAGCGCTTTTATAAAAAGTATTCAGCTTCGAAAGAGCAGTTTATGGGGTTTGCAAACAAGTTGCAAATTGGTGTTTCCAACTATTCATGCACCTAAAGTTAAACTTTATTGCGGGGTACTAAGAACCATACTATAAATTATCTGTAAATGTTGGCGAAATAGGGCTTTGAAGAGCTGTTCTTCGTTTTTCTAGAGAAAGAACGTCGCAGCATTCTGAATGGTACTTTATGCAGCCCATTTCGTGTCTGGGTATTTTGCCAACGTTTCCATTTTGTCACGTTAAACAGTATATACATTTTTAAAACATATTATAAACAACATCAAAAAAGGATACTAAAAGACCCGTTGCCTGTGGATAGCCTATCGGCGAAGTATTTTCAAGAAATTAAGAAAAATTCTGAATTAAAAGAAATAATATTGTGTTTACTTTTTACGTTATTGCGTTCACACGTAAAAAGTTTGCACTTCATTGGCGTAATTAAGTATGTAATTTATATAATAATACCCATAATTTAATATGTTGGTAGAATATGGCGCTTAATACAAAATAGTTTACGTATTACATACACTCAAAAACACACTCTTATTTATTTTACCAAATGGTTTTTTCAAACGAAGTATAAAAATAAAACAAAAGTAAATTAATACCTTATTTAATTATGTCCCACTTAAGAACAAACGTCTCCTCTGTACGTAAGGCATTCAAACGTACTCCACCACGGGCCCCAGTGCGGAAATTAGTAGACTAAAGTAAAATAACAGCCTATACAAGTCCCACTGCTGTGAAAAGCCTGTACAGAGGATCCTAGGGTATTGTCCATCACGCACACATATAGACTTCATCTTAGAAATACTGTTTTTGTCATTATTTGGACACTATGTAGTTTTCCTCTCTATGTTTTCCTTCACCGCTGAGCCCGTGATAAGTCAGCAGTTATAATTTATATTAATAATTTTATTGGTGTCAGTACCGGTGTTTGAACTGAGGTTGCCCGAGTACATTGGATTAAAAGCAAGCGCCCGGCCATAGCTTGTAGCTCCATTCAAGAGAGAGAGTAAACAGATCAGTTTGGAAGACCTTTGAGGATTGCTGGATTAACCACATAGCAAGAGTAGCTATGAATTGCTACAGGCCCCGTAAGCAGGGCCAGATTTAGAGGTCTGGAGGCCTCGGGACAACAAAGAAGGGGAGGCCCCTTACCCTCAAATTATTTTCTATTGATTCCCATTAATATTTAATTTAATCATGTTTGTACAAAGTACTGTAGGTAAAAGAAAAACGGGGAATAAAATATGCAAGGTCAAGTTGTTTACTATTGTTTACTAGTCTGAATTTGAATTTTTTTTCCAAAGTCTCTATTGTGGGGGCCCCTCGTTTGTGGAGGCCGGGCGTTGCTTCGGTTGCCCTCCCCTAAATCCGGGCCTGGCCGTAAGACAGGGGGCCCCGCATATATAAAACCATTTATCTCTCTACCTGAGCGTTATTTTTTCTGTGAAACTTATTAAGATGGTGTATGTTGAATTTACTTCATTTCACAAAAACTTGTGACGTCACAACTTTTGCGATATAAGTCACTTTAATATTGATGAAAACTTTTTTTAACGCAGACCAATGGAGACGTAGCCAATGGAAAGCATAGACAGCAAAGTGACGTATGACGGAAGCGAATCTCGATAGTCTTACAATGTCCATTCATACCCGCTCCACCGCGTCTTTTGTTTGCTCCTCCTTATGATTTCTACACTTATGCGCGGTATTCAATGTGACTAGGCAAGTTGAACCACAGACTAGGTTTAGAACTAAATTTCTGGATACGTAACTACGTCGTTACAAACTGACGGTTCTGAAAATTGTCACGAACCGTTTCTAATTGTCTGACCAAGATGGTGGCAAATTCGACCATAAACGACTAATTTCTGTCCGCTGTTAGCAATAAGTCTCAACGAATATCATGTATATAACTGAGACTTAATATGTTTGCTTTTTGCTTTTGCTTTTATTGGTAGGGCCACGCAACAGTTTTCACTGTTGCACGAATGGGCAGGTCCATCCTGGTAAGAACCACGACCTCACAGAAGTCCGGCTTAAAGTAAAAGTGTTAGACTTCTGCGTTTCGTCTGGTGAGTGAGGTAGCCAGGGCCCACTTTATTTAAAAGTTGCAACGCATTTGCAACCCTACGACAGTTGCAAATGTCCATGGGTGGCGGTTATCCCTTAACATCATGTCAAACGCCACCTCGTTTGCCACTTTCTCACATAAAAAAATCAGCACGGGGATGGCAGTTTCTGGATAGTTCGAACAGCGTTCGAGCATACGAATCCGTCCCGAAAGCCGACCTTGAACTCCGCTCCGTTCAAGTGCGAGGATATGCCAAAACAGAGGGGACCAACGAATTGGCTAATCGGCCAATTGGCGACTCTTCCTCCATTCTTTGCGTCACTTGCTAAATGATTTACGACCTGACCGGGGAGTCGCAGCGCGTGTAACTTGCAAGTTCTTAACTTCAATTCGAGCTCTGTCATTAACTAACTTTTGCCCGTGGCTTCACCTGCGAGTTCCTTTTCGAATTTTATCTGCGTTCAGATGTGTATAACCACCGCAGTGAGTGAACGCGCATGAACTATCGTATTTATATTTTTAGTGCCAAAAACCTGCTGTAGTTCTTTAAATTGATTTATTTTATTGATTACATTGTGAGGCGTCGTGGTGTATACAAAATTCATTCGATTGATTGATGTTTTTTTTTTAGTTTTTATATTTGGTTTTACTATTTACTTTACAAATGTTTGTCTATCGTAGGGCCACGCAATAGTCTTCGCTGTAGCACGAATGGGCAGTTTCTTCCAGGAAAGTACCACGACATCATACAATACTGGCGTGAAGTAATGGAACCTCGTTTATTTATTGTATCTCGGTTTATTTTTAATTTAAACTCCCAGTTTAAACGTCGATTGTAGTCAGGAGAGAATTTGACGTAATTGACGTCATGGGCTACCGTCAATTTGCAGAAAAAAATAAGTCGTGCCGTCAACACCCAATGGTAGTTCCGTTTTTAAAGACAGATCATATCAAAGTAAATGTTTAAAAGCAGTTTGTTTTTATATTAAAATAACAGGATTAGTGGTACTTGAATTCACAAAAGTACCAAAGTAAACAATCTATCATGCTTTTTTTCCTGAGGGGCAGACAATGATTTAGAAAGCAAATGCTTTTCAGTTATTCCTTAGCTCCTTTTGTCTATAGCAGAAAACTTAATATTTCAATCGCAATTTCGGCCGGATGTGTTAAGGAAAGTGCTCAATATGAGAGACCTTTGAATAGTGTCATATTACGTTCTTTCCTGCTAGTCGATTTTTCATTACTCCACTACGGAGGTCGCGTACGTGCATCGAAGCAGATGGCTAGAACACTAAACAACCTTTTTGGGTTTACAGTGGGAAATATAATTAATATAATAGGATTATTTCGTTTATAATAAAGGTTCGTCTATATTTTATGTGTTTTACAATAGAGTTGATTTTTTATTGGCATAATCTATTGGGATTAGGCATCAATGTTAATAAAATACTAAATATATTAAAAGGAAAAAATGTAATGAACGTTCCTTTTATTTGTTTACCTAGTCTCGTAGTTCTCCTTTAGTTCTTACTGGCAATAATGTTTACAATGTCAATTGCATGTTTGTTTTGATTTCAAATATTTAAAAAATAACGTCTTTGATTTCAACAAGTTAATCGAAGTAAAACAAAGTTGTAGTGGATGTCGCTGTATTGTTAGAAAAATGAACCATTTAAACGTTATAACTGATGAAGAATTTGTACCATTTCTGCATGGCTTAGGTGTTGAAACTTACAAAAAGTCCTTTGAATGGCTGTTGCACGATTCGGACTTCGCTGATGTATTAAAGTGGCTGTATGTAAATTTAGATCACAACAACGCTTTAAGTGCCCGTGAAGAATATAGGTAAGTCCCAGAAATATCATTGTGATTTCAAGTCTTTTTTTCTTTTTGTGAGATGGTTACAACAGAACTGTCGGTTCACCTGATGTTAAGTCATAACCGCCACCCATAGACATTTGCAACACCCGTAGGGTCCCGGCTACCTCACTCACCAGATGAAACACAGAAGTATAACATTTCGTGTTGTGGGTGTACATTTTATTTTAATTTTAACTATTTATTCTCAATAAAATAAACAAAAAAAAAAGTCTTCAATAAAATTCATTAGCAGTAATAATATAACCATATAGAATTAGTCAAATTTGGTATTAAGTATGTTGTTCTATTTATACTGTGGAAGCTTTATTTTATATTGAATAATTGTAATTTAACTGTAGTTCGCTTTTTTTTAATTTTTCTCCACCGCTTCCATGTCAAACTACAAATGTGGCACTCGGGTTAATTTCCCAACTATATTAAATGCAAAATTATAAATAATTTAACTTCATACTTTTGGTATTACACATGCTAAAATAGTGTGTTAAAATAGTATATGTAGGCTCTGTTGCTTTACCTCAGTAAGTTTCCTGATTGTATTTGATTAGTTGATTCATGTACACAATTGCTTCCTAATCTGAATAACAAAATAATATGTTTTAGTCAACTTATGATTGATTTTCCCTACTGCAGGTATGTAGAAATAGAAAAAAGAAAATGTCTCTTGTCACCTGATGAATTAGAAGCATCTATTTTATCTATTCAGGAACAGTTTGAAGGAATATGTCTACCAGGTGACCACGAGTCTATGGAGGATGTAAAATTGGACATTAAAATGCAAAAAGAAAGACTTTCTATGTTGGAGAAGCATGAATCGTCGATTAAAGATTTAATAAAACAAAATCAGTAAGTATGTTATAATAATTCAGTTTTACGTTACCAATTTACAAAAAGATGTGGTTAATTAAAGAGTTATAATTTTGTATTTCTTTTTTTCTGAGTTTATTACCTAGGGGCACAAATATATTATTTCAGAGATATTTGATTAATAAAATAATTATAATTGCATAATTTAGGTAATTAAAAATATAATAGATATAATGATATATAATTGCATAAAAGATGATGATAGTTAAAGAAAAAAAGTAAAAATTCTATTCTAAGGCTTCACTATTGAGCGAGAGGTTGCTCTAAAAATGCACAAATAAAAAGTATAATTGTATTGTTTTTTTATGTTAAATTTTTTTTTGCAAAAGAGCAGGCAGTAGTACAATATCTGATGCATTATCAAAATTAAAAACTTAGGCCCCGATTATTTCACTCGCCAGATGAAATGCGAATGAATAATACTTCCACTCCTTGCTGGTCTTCGTGAAGTTACTTTCCTGGACGAGCCTGCCCTTGTCTTTGTTACACAAATGTGCAACAGTCGGAGCTGCTGCATCAGTGGGTGAAATGGAGTAAAAAATTTTCTTACTCTTTCAATCTCAAAATTTATTACACGGTATATTGATATTCATATGGTGGTGGTTTGATCTCATAAACGTTTCATAAATTCTTGGATTCATCTTATATTGAATGTATAATAATATTGATAGTGAGTTTGAAATGAGTGAGGTGTTTAACAACAGTCTATCTCATTTTGGTAACAGAGTCAATTTCGTTCTAAAATTAATTCGTATTCTTATTATTTGGTCTTATTTATTGGAGTTAATTCTAGTGCAATTAAAGAAGAACTGGACATAGAGACAACAAAACTAAGCGCGTCACAGAGACAATGTTTGGACGATGGAACTGCCTTAGGTGAGCATTGCATCACATTGGCAGAGGAGGTGGATAGCATTGTTGATAGCGTGTGTGATGTGATATCTGAAAATCTGAGTCTGTGTGGCAATAGCTGTACAGATAAGGTAACATACTTGATTTTTATTCTGTGCCATACCTTATTTGTAGCTCAAACCAAATGTTTCTTTTACAAAATTGCATGCTTTTTTTATCTAAGAAGATTGCAAGCAAGATGGTTATCACTTAATATCAGGTGATTCACCTGATATTAAGTGATAACCGCCCATGGACATTTGCGACACCTGTAGTGCTGCAAATGTATTGCCAACTTAAGTTAGGCCCCAGTTACTTCACTCACCTGACAAAACGCTGAAGTATAACACTTCACACATGTGACTACCATAGCAAAGCCTATTAAACAATTATGTATAAAAATAATTATATTAATAATATATCAAATATTAAGACCATGATGATGATTCTTGTTGTATGATGTGGACAACATGATAATAAATAATACTACACTTCAGGTTATTATTCTAAGAGAATATTGAGAAGTTTTATTATACATAGAAAATTGGCTTCAACTTTCTTGGAATTAATTAAAATACTGAATTAAAATTCATATGTATTAATTACAGGAAATTGCCTGCAAGTTCTTTGCATTTGGCCCCTTTGAGTCATATAGGCAATCGCAGGCACTTTTCATGTCTCACTTTGATCTGTATGTCTCCAAACGGTTTAGCAATAAGCACATTGGCAATATAACAGATAACAATTTAAGGATGTCCTTAAGAGAGGCAAGGAACATGGAAGAAAGGTAAATGTTTTAATTAGACCATTATATCATCCTTTATAGTAATAAAAACTTAGTGATGTTTGTAGTAAATTGCACATATTAGACATTTTTGAATGCACTTAATATGCTATGAATTGTTTGACTGAACAAAATGACCAGTTCTAGATAATGTCTTTTTTGCATTAATGGTTGCGCAACAGCCCCATATACTCAGGCATATAGAAAAGGGCTTAGCTTTGACTTGTATGTATAATATTCAAATTAATATTTCTATGGGGCCAAAGTGTCACTAAGCTAACCTCGTTCATCCCATCTTATTATGAGAGGGGCATAGCTATTTTTGGACATAATCAGGATTGGTGTATTGGCATTGTATGTTCCATAGGAGATTTTGCAAACACGAGGAATGAGAGGCCAGTGCGGGGTTTGTACTTATAAGTCATCTAATTTTCCAGGTTATCGGATGCAGTGTATGCATATATTTCCACGAAAGCGGAACTGTGCGGAGAACAAGCGAAATTGGCACTTGTTTCTAACTATAATAATGTTCATCCCAGCCAAGTGGCGTGAGTATTAAATAATTTTGTGTCAATCTTCCATCTCAAACAGACATCAAGCTTAGATATGCAATGAGTAATCAAATAATGTATATTTTGAGGGACGGATTGTATATTTAAAACTTTAAGGGTATAATTTTCTTTTGCTTAACTTCAAGATCCTTTTAAAAACCTGCAAATATACAACTGCCATTCATAGGTGTTTGCAGTTGTTTTGCACATCTCCTTCCTCTTCCAAATCCATTCAGGTTTGCATACATGCACATCTATATAATGAAAAAAAAAAAAAAAAAAAAAAAAAAGTAACAAAGTTACCATTTCATTTCCAGTTCATGTTCATTGGAAGCTCAAAGTACAGTGGAGCTTCTAGATCAAGAAGAGAGTATATTAGATCAGCAATTGGAGGATGCAGTGAAGAATTTTGTCTCCTACCGCACGAATCTCGCGCTGGAGACTGCAGCAAAAGCTGCATTGAATATTAGAGAGTAGGTCTAATGACATGTTACAAAAACGTTTCTATAGATAATTCAAAATGAAAGCTTATAGAAATTATTAACTAAATTATTTTTAATTAATTATAAATATTATTATAATTAATTAATTATTTTTAATTAAACTAAACTATTATTTTAAAAATATTATTAAAATTTTTAACTAATTAAAAAAAAAATTATTAAATTATTAGGCACGTAAAAAATGCTAAAAATCATCACTTAATTAATAAATAACCACTTAAAGTAACTGTTATAAGTTTACCCTTAAACTAAACTTAATATATTATTTCAAAAACTAACAAACTGATCAGCTTAAAAGAGTCCGAAACAAACAGAGAGTTCGAAAAGTTGAAGTTAGAAATTACCTTTTGTGGGTCTAGTGAAAAATATCTAATTATAATTTAGATACATTATTCTTGACTGTTGGTTATTGTCTTGTTGTGTGTGCTTGGGACACAAATATGATTTTTTTACATTTGTGTCCGTACCATACAATAGTACCAAAGGCTGATAAGTACACACATATTTATCATAATAGCCAAATGCATTTGTGTTTAAATGAGGTGTTACTCATTACTTATTTTTGATTACCAAAGCAAACTTAATTTGTTGTATGTAATATGCAATGCAATCTGTATTGCAAAAATGAGTACTTACATTTGGAAGCATACTCAATTTTGCAAACTAAGAGATAGCTATGTTTTATTAAGGAAATAAAATGGATGTTTTAAAGAGAAAATATTATCTAAAGTAAAATAAAATCAAGATGCGACTCGAGCCAGTATCCATATCAACTTAAGTAACTCGATTAAAATAAATCCAACTCCTCACATAACTGGAACCGTATGAAATATTTGCAGAGAAGTCCATAAAGACCTGGCGTTCCTGCTCGACACAACCCAGCAGGCTTTGGCCCTCGACAAGCTGTTATATTGCGCCCTCAGAAGTGAGCTGCGCTCGCTAGAGGAACTATTGCATTTCGCCTCGCACCTGCGAAAGTTCTTGATGTCGGAGGGTGAGGCTGTATGCAGCAGGATTGTAAGTGTGACATTTCTTTTATTTGTATCAAATGTGTGTTTAATACCAAATTAAGTAAATTAAATGTGTGTTTAATTTACCTAATTTGGCTTTTCGTTCACATCTGTGTGACTAGCATGGTTGTTATCTTTGGAATCGTTTTGGAATCTGTTTAGTGTATGTTTTTAAGTTGCCAAATGAGCAGAAGGTTCACCTGATGCTAAGTGAAACCGCCGCCCATAGACATCTGCTAGACCCGAGGATTACAGATGCGTTGACAATTTTAATTTTGAAAATTCTAATGTGGTATATGTTTGGGTGGCGATTAGGAAAAGTTTTTTTATTCAGTTTTTGTTTCTTCTATTTAACACTTAATGGCAACACACATGCAATTATTTTTCTTCATTCCTCTTATAAATGACATTATAAAACGAGATGCTTAAAAAGGGGATGAAATTGGTTATGGTTCTATATAAAAACCAGTAATGTGACAAGTGATAAGATTGTCACACTACACAAGACAGCAATGTGAAGATGCAATTGTTTTATATATTCTAACAAAGCATTATTGTTATAGGAGTCAATGAACGAAATATGCTTGGAGCAAGCGCTCGCTGAGCAGAGACTGCAGACCTCAAACATTCTCCAGGGTACTCTATGTTCCATACTTGGTGCAGATTCTATCAATGACCCTACGGTCCTTGTTAGACTACATATTGAACTGAAGAAGTGTATTCAGGATCTAAACGATAATATTTCTGAGGCTTTCAAGAAGAAAGAGGGAGCAATAAACGATTAGTAAGTGTTGAAGATGTCTAAAGTCAATGATAAGAGAATATCAAGCTCTGGAAAGTCTTTGTATTGTAAGAAGGATCTTAAATATTAGTTTAATGATACATTGTCGAAAAATATAACTCAGCCAGTTGCGCTAATCAACTGAGCTAAGCGTCCAATGTGTTTGCTGCCCGAAAATCTCTTCAACCATCTACTTTTTTTACTGTTTGTAATTTGAGCAATGTTTGCCGCCACTTGTGGGCTGTACAGTATACCTACACTCAAATGAAATTTCACAATGCTTATTTCAACTAGAGCTGTAAAGTAATCTTATGCTTTCAAGTAGTCTAAAATCTGATTTTACTCAGCTTTTCTAGTGTAGTTCCATTTTTAGTTTTCGAGTTAATGAATCATCATTCTCTGCTAAACATAGGCCTCTCCTGTAGATCCAGAGCTGTCTACTTCCATCGACTTCCCGAATAGACCGCAACTCCATCCAGTGGGGGTCTTCTCTACTGCGATGGCCAATACGACGCTGCCACTCGATAACCTTTCTTTCTTCCCCATTAGTTAATGAATACGAGCCAGTGAAACGTGACTTTGTATTTGTATTTTGTATGGAATGTGGTAGTAAATCCCAACGACCACTGCGACCTAGAAGATCTATTGTAGTCCATTCGAAAAATTGCCCTTTACTGTTGTAGGATAACATTATCCTGTATTGTAAGGATGTTTGACATACATAAACTCCACATGGACAAACACCCGGATCCGAAACAGCAATCTGTGGGTCACACAAAGTAACAAAACGAACAAGACCGCAAAGTTTCTTGCCGGTTCTTCTCTGTGCAGGACTAGTTTAGTAAACCGGTGTAAATTTTTTGTTGACGTTCAATAAGAGCTTAAATTAGGCCTATATTGCATAAATATATTTTGACTTTGACACAAACAGTCGTACCGTGTTGGAATCGAACCCACGACCCCCAGCTCCAAAGCCAACGGCACTGCTCTGCTGCGCCACAGGGATGATCCTATCTTGACTAGCAGCTCGTGACCTTATCTTGCAGCAAGCAGCGGTACGAGCCACTGCGGCAGTACGTGTGGGACGGCTGCACCAGACAGCCCAACTGCTCGGACGTGGCGGTGGCAGCCCTGAGCCACCGGCTGAGGAGGGAGATGGACGCCGTGGACGCCGAGGTGCTGGCTGCCAGCGGCAGCTTCACCGCCGTGAAGGTAGGCTTTTGAAGTGAGAACTTCTTTGGGCCCGTTCAGCACTTTGTGGGTGAACAAAGAGCGTGAAACTCGCGTCATCGTCACCGAACGCCTTCCATGAGCTATACTGTGTTTATAAGATGTGTACTTTTCGGGTGACCAACCAAACTTGGGTCATCGATTTCGAATCGAGTCTCCGATTGGTGCTTCTCCGAATGACAGGTTCATCCTATTCATGCAACAGCCAGGACTGTTGCGTGGCCCCATCACAGCAAGAAGCTCATGAGCACTCGAAAAGAACCCAAACGGATTTTATTGACCCGTGACATTAAAATTTATAGAAAGTATAGGACGTTTTTCGCCGCTGCGGGAATCGAACCCACGTACTCCAGGTTCGCGCCCAGACACTTTAACCACTAGCCGAAGACCTGTGCAAATTTTTAAAAGCAATGTAAACGCAACTACAGATTGATTTCTTTATAAATGTTTTTTATGGAATATAACTACTTATACGTGTCGTTACCACCGCGACAATAAACGAACACACATACAGAGGATAACTTTTTAAAATTGTATTAAACATTTACATTCTTTAAACATCAATATTTACAGAGTTATTAAATTTTCCAAAACAAACAATTTTAGAACACCCTTACATATAAAACTGTAACGTAAAGTTCATTTGTAAAGGTCACAAAGCATATGAACGGGTTGAATGAATTTAAAATAGGCAAAACATACTGTTCGAAGGAGAGGCTTGTAATGCGACGCTGTGGCGCGAGTTGTATAGGATGTTACAAATTTTGTTCCTTTTTTACTTAATTAGTTTGTTTGAAATTTTTTTTTTAATTATGGATTTTGTTTAACGTTAATATTTTTTTATGATTATTGGCAAGTAGCGTTAGACGTCTGTTCATTTGTCGCGATGGTAACGACACGCTGTATACGGATTATAACTAGTTATATTTGGATTATAACTACTCATAGTTATATTTACAGTTTTTTAAGTTAAAAGTTGCACAAACAAGCAGGCACTTGCCGTTTAGCTCAGTGGCTAAAGCGTCAGGGCGCGAATGATGATGTGGGTTCGATTTTCACAGCGGCGAAAAACTTCGTACTTTTTTCTACAAATTTTAATGTTTATTTTAAATTTCAGAGATTGGAACTATAAAAAAAAAAATTTGCAAATGCAAGTGAAATTTTCACCCACAAGTTTGGTATTGTTTTCAGAATGGCGACAAGCAGAATCTGAGGAAGATTTGGCAATGGTTTTTGTCGGATCAAGCGAAACTGTTGTCAATGGTGAAATCTGTACAGTCCAAGAGCTTTATGTGAACCCGCTAATATTTTTACAATGTTAGTAAAATGTCTTGTTATAGCAATATTGGCTTTATTAAATTATATCAAGCATATATTTTACGTTTATTTAAAAAAAATCAGTATGTCTTATGTTGATCGTCCCAAAGTCAATATATTGTATGTATGTAGCAACTTATATATATTTGCTGATGGTTAAAAACCTTTTCTGTAGACTGTATCATAGTCAATAAATTAATACCGATCACATACCAAAAAGTGACAGCCTATATATACCACTATTAGGTTAAAGTACCTCTTTATGGAGGGTTTTAGGTTCCACTTGTCCACGTGTCCACCACGCACCCCACTGTGTGTTGGCAGACGCACGTATCTTCGAAATTTACTGTTTTTGTTATTATTTCGAAAATATCCAAGTTTTATTAGTTTTTTTTTATGTGAAAAGTTGCCAAACGAGCAGATGGTTCACCTGATGTTAAGTGAATAGCGCCGCCCATGGACATCTGCTACACCCGAGGGTTTGCAGATGCGCTGAAAACATCTTTGGATATTGGGCTCCAGCTACCTTACTCACCAGACGAAACGCGAAAGTATTATACTTTCACTTTACGCCGGTTTTCTGTGAGGTCGTGGTACTTACCCGGACGAGCCTGCCCATTCGTGCAACAGCCGAGGCTGCTACGTGGCCCCACCACCGTAAAAGTAAAGTTTCGTCACGATGTTTTCCTTCACCGCAGAGCATGTGATAAGTCAACACTTAAATGCAATTAGAAATATCATTAGCGCCGGCACCGGGGTTTGAAATCAAATACATTTTTAGCTATATTTTAAATTATGTTTCTTTTTATACGTAAATTATAGACTATAGTTGTTTGCTCTTTGTACTTTGTAAAATGAGGAAATAGTTTGATCAGGTTTCTACTTGTATATAAATCTAATAATTATGTTTCTTTATATATCTAATTCTTCTGTACAGTGTGGTCACCGAACTCCTAAACGGCTGGACCGATTTTAACAAAATTTTTGTCTTCAGGTTGATTGTAGAATGGTTTAGATTCACAATTCGTTTTTTCCTTTGGTTGTTTTTTCTATTTATAACTTGTTTTCGGATTTAAGTCGCGTGTAGAGAAAAACGTCTGTTGGGTCCACTAGTAAATATACAGGTAAATTTTTTACACAGGAGGTTTAAAAAACAAAGTTTTTTTTTTCCAAAAAAATGCCATTCTATTCCCTAAAAAACAGAACATGTTGACAATCCGGTAGTCATTCAAAAATACCTAAATTTTACTGTGCACGAACTTGTGTTCGCGTTAGCTATGAATGATCGCGCGTAAAATAAATGAGTTGCGTATAAATCACGCACTTTTGAGATAAGTTCAAATGAATGTAATTAATTACTTACGAGTGATTTTAAATATTTATCATTTTTTATATAACATTATTTATATCAACAATCTAATAAAAAAAAGTGGATACACTTAGAAAAGCCACCCTGTATACTTATATAAATTTAAATTAATATAGTAGAATGGTAAAAAAACACATTTTTTGTATAAACATTTTATTCTTAACGTTATTTGAATATTACAAAATATAGAAATTAAATAAATAGGTACTAAAAATGATCACAATGTTTACAGTCAGCACCAAGCGATTCTATTACTGAATGCGCCTCGGAAGAATTTTTTTTACTAATTTCATGGTATTCTTCTCTAAGGTAATTGATTGGATCAATGTATTGTACTATCATTGTTTTAATGCGCAATGTGTCACATATAGGAATCTATTAAATTGTAAAATTTCGCTCAGATAACTATAGCTGATGACTAAAAATTTATTTCATAATTATAACAGCTGATTCATTCAATGTGATATTTTCTTTTCAACAATCCTTCTTTTGATTGAAAGACATATTTCTTAATCAATACTAATCATTTATTTCATTTAATTGTTCATTAACTGTCAAGTAACCCAAGGCTTTGTGACTAAATTGTTCATTCCATCCAAACTTTCATCATTCAATTTGTATAATTTTATTAACTTCAGTTTTTGGTTTTGACTTATTGTGCACAACTATTTTAACCGACCTCAAAAAAGGAGGTTCCCAATTTGGTTGTATTTTTTTATGTTTCTCCTCAGGACTTCGTCATTTATGAACCGATTTTAAATACCTTTTGTATTGGGTTCAGCTCACTACCCTCGTGGCCCCATCATTTCACTGGTATAAGACCATGAACTCGGAATATATCTCAGGGAACTCATCAAATAGAAAATGTACTATAGTGAGCGAGATATTTGGAGTCGGTTTTGTTTTTTAGTGATTAAAAATGTTTTACTTTTCAATTAAAATATGTGCACTTAAGATGAAACATAAAAATTTGTAGAAAAGATGGGCAAAAAGATATTATTATTAACGCTCAATCTGCCGTTCAGTTTAGTGGGTTCGATTCTCGCGGCGGCGATTATTTTTTTGTTCATTTTTTCATAAACTTAAATGTTTTACTTGTTCGAGATCGCTTTATTTGCACTTAAGTCTTGTGTTCGTTGTTCGGTTTAGTCCCAAGTTGGTCGGGGGCTCTTACTCAGAAGAGTGTCTTCGGGCGCGATATGTATAGGGTTGTTGAAGTCCAGTTCGATGTTCTCCGGTACGGTGTCGTACAAAGTGATGTGTTCGCCGTTCTTGCCTGCAGAATTTATTTGGACATAAATTAATTCTGTCAGTGTTAGGCAATTTGCTTTATTGCAAAATTTTTTGCATGCTTTTTGAAACGGATTCCTTGAAAGAGAAAGTATTTGAGTATCATACTTTATTGTTATAATAAATGAAATAACTGTATGAATTATAAAATGTGCAGAAGTACAAAGGCGTTCTTGTAAACGATTATTAATTTTATGGCGGTATAAATAACTGGAAATACATCAGAATATGTGTACCACGATTTTATTGATTCACGAATGGGCAGGTCCGTCCGGGGAAGTACCACGACCTCACAGAAGGACGGCGTGAAGTGGAAGTGTTACACTTCTGCGTTTACACAGTTTTTACAGTTTAGTGAGTAATGGAATCGGGGCCCACTTTATTAAAAGGTGGCCATGCATCTGCAGCCCTACAGGTGTAGCGATTGTCCATGGGTGGTGGTTATCAATTATCTGGTAAACCACCTCCTGCTCGCTTGCCACCGTATTAGATACAAAAAAAAACAGTTTAAGAAAAAACTTATAGGAAGAAATCGAAGAGAGGTTGGGCTACAAAGCAACAAGATTTAAAAAGGGGACATATAAATATATCAAATGAAACAAGGGTGTTGTTAGCAAGCGAGTAAAAGTTATAAACGAAATCGGAGAGAGAAAGTCGAATTAGACATGACATGAAAGGCCAGAGATGAGAGAAGTAGAGAAAAGAGTGCCTTTGGTTGAGAGAAAGAGAGAGACTGAGAGGTAGAATGAGAAAGACTGAGAGGTAGACAGAGAAAGACTGAGAGGTAGACAGAGAGAGACAGAGCGCCTGAGAGGTAGACAGAGAGAGAATGGGAGGTAGACAGAGAGACTGAGAGGTAGACGGAGAGAGACTGGGAGGTAGACAGAGCGAGACTGAGAGAGCGATTGAGAGCTACGCAGAGAGAGACTGACTGGTAGACGGAGAGATACTGGGAAGTAGACAGAGAGAGTCATCACCGGTGAAGTTGAGGCCGGCGACGATCCGCTCCAAGCGCAGCGCGTCGAGCGTGGCCCTGACGCTGAGGGTGTCGCGCAGCAGCGAGCGGCGGTGGCGCGACGAGCGGCGCGACGAGACGCGCGACGAGCTGCTCGCCACGCCGCGCGGCAGCAGCGGCAGCGTGAACACCGCCTCGGACAGCGGAGTGTCGTCCGGCCCGAACTCCTAATAGGGGGCGCTCTTATCTCAGTCAATGGGAATATGTAATGACAGCCTGCATAGGTCTCGCTGCTGGGCGAAGGTCTACTCCGTAAAGAGGGAATTACCGCCGGTGTGGGAGTCGAACCCACGTCTTCCGGATTCGCGCCCAGAAGTTTTGACCACTAAGCTTTACGGCTGATTGTCACACCGACACTGAATTACCGGTTTTTTTAAAATTCGTCAACGTCGATATTAAGTGTGCCATTTGACCAATTTAAACGAAGAATTAAAAGTAAACTTATGGCTAAAGCATAATATAACATTGCGGAATGTCTCGACGACGCCAATGTGTGGAGTTAATACTCTTGATATTCATGTAGGATAAAATAAGACTATTATTATCTATATGTTATATTGTAATCTAAGTTTAAAAAAAAAAGAGCAACTGATGAGTTTCTTGCCGATCTCTTCTCAACAGAAACTGCCTTCCGAACCGGTGGTAACTTACGAACTTATGTATTGATTACTTATGTACAATTCGACGTGTAAAAGAACGCTCAAGCGTCTATTTGAATAAAGATATTTTGAATTTTGAATTTGAATTCAAACTCGAATCGGGCCGTCATTTGCGTGATTATCAGAAACGTTTCATGTAATGCTGATAATGTTGATTGTTGGTTGAGCTGAAATGCTTATTATTATTATTATTTTGAGTTTGATTTATTTCTCCCAGGTGTAACCTGGTGGTATTAAGTTAGCACGGGCTTTAACCAAGTGTTAACCTAAATTTGGGTGGTTATTATTATTATTAATCCAAACAGAGACCAGACTCACCAGACACTTGCCGCTGACGCAGTAGGAGGCGTTCCGCTTGGAGCAGGCGGTGCCGAGGGGGAACCAGCCCTCTTGGCCGTTGACCAGGTAGAAGCGGTGCGCCACGCGCTCGTCCTGGCACGCCACTCGGCACGGCCGGTCAGGCTCCTCTGGACAACAAATACGCGGGAGTGAGCGCTGCTGAAATGCTGATGACGACGAGCCCCTCGAGGAAAGCGCTTCGTTAAAGCGAAAAAAGGGAGCGTATCGTTTTTCGCAGCTTGAAGCACGGAATGTCGACTGTGATTCGTTACTCAAGATTTCTCTTTACTTTGAAGCAGTACATGACGTTTAAGTATCTCATTAAGAATTGAAACGTGATAAAGTATCTCCATTTAATCATTGTCCTTTTTACGAGTGGCTATATCGAAATCATCGGGTGCTGTCTCTTTTTTTTAATCTTACCTAAGGCAGGCGATATCTGCATTCCCAATCCAGATAGCCGTCTCACTCTCTCTTTGTACTTGGAACACACCATCGTCGCGTACTGATATGGCGTTCTTCTCTGGGAGCAGCCCTGAACAATAATATAGGCACACATATACCAACTCCACCTAGATACAGCATTAATTTAGCAACTCAGTTTCCTGATGTACATTCTGAGAACGTAAATCAAATAGATCTCTACTACTAGACTAGAAGATCAAATCGAAATTATATGGGGACCTCATCAGATCAGAAAATGCAACGGGCATAATTATTTATAGTGGTTACTACATTCACTAAGTCGTTTCATTAGTAGAAAGAATCCGATTTACGCCCGGTTTCTGAAACACTGATCATCGTAAAGTTAACTAATCAGCTGTCAAATGACTTTTCAAATGTATAATCTACAAAAAATAAAGATTCTAGTGTGTAAATGCCTAAGAACCAAACCGGGTGGTAGCCGTTCAGATCTATTTAAAGTAAGACGCGATTTGCTGAAAACTGGGATCAATGACATCTAACTATCATGTCAGTGGTAGACGGAATCTACGCACATACTAAATTTCATGAGAATCGCTCGAGCCGTTTCCGAGATTCCAATTATATAATTATATACAAGAATTGCTCGTTTAAAGGATAAGATTTAAGTTGTCAAAATGGGCGATTGTCAGGATGATCTTCTTAATATCAGAACAAGATGACATTCTTACTGAGTCCTCCTGGTATAAGACCATCGACACACCGATCCCACGACGCGGACCATCGACAACACGCGTCACCACATGACCCAAAAACATAAATTGACTCTGGCTTCATATTTTTAAAGAGTATTGCTAGAAGAAATCACCGTCTCACGACTAAGGCGGACTTCTGGAATTTGTGTCCACGACCCATTGTTAAGGCATGTGCTCTTTAAGTCAACCGCTAGTATACGTGGCCAATGCAGATCGAAAAGATTGTATTATCTCCATTCCAGTTATCTTGAAGTCAATGTTGTATAATAAGTAGAGATGATATGATAGGGAGAGTAAAGATGTAAGTTGAAGGTTGGTATTCTTCCCAAGACGGGGAAATTGTATTTATCCTGACCATGCTATAGCTTGCATATTCACCAGTTCCGGTGCAGTTGGATCTGGACGGCAGAGTTGGATGGTGGTGAGGGAGCGGCCCGCGGCGGTGACCAGCCTAACGCCGCTGCCCGGCCGGATGCAGTGGTGGTGGCAGCCGCTGGCAGCGCGCCACTGGGAGCCGGCCGCGCGCCGCCACGGATTGCCACCCTTGGACGGCCGCTCTGGTTCGAAGCTGTTGCGAAGAACATGGAGCCATTTTGTATATACTACGTGGACATGATAAAGCAAGTGTGCAAATAAAGCATCGGGTTCTACTTATGCTTATGCACTTATGTAAAAATATCACTTACTCGATATTTACGATAGTTTAAAGGAATAGTTTAAAGGACGCGATAAATCCGTAAAAATTAGTTTCATTTATAGTTTAAAGGAAGATCGACATGAAATAGAAGTATTCAGTCTCTTGCGTTTTGCAATGAGTGTTAACGATGCCATTGGTTATGGACAGATGCGTTGCCAATTTTTAAAAAGTTGGTGTAAGCTATTTTCCCAGCAGACGTAACGAAGTATATTATTATATTGTATTTTCACGTCGGTCTTCAATACAGACCTATGAGATTTACTCCTCGGGCATAAAAGTAGTTTTTAACACGTAAACATCTGCCTACACAGACTGACATCAGTCAACTGCGGTAGGACCACGCAATAGTGTTCACTGTTGCACGAGTGGGCAGTTCCGTGCGGGTAAAGTACCACGACCTAACAGAAGACCGGCGTAAAGTGAAAGTGTTACACTTCTGCGTTTCGTCTGGTGAGTGAGTTAGCCTCGGGGACCACTTTACCCTACGGGTGTTGCAAATGTCCATGGGCGGCGGTTATCACTTAACATCAGGTGAACCGCCAGGTCGTTTGCCACTTTTTCACATAAAAAAAGAATAAGCAGGGACTCACGTTGCGATAGGATGCGGCGTGGCCGTATGCAGCGCCTGCCACTCGCAGTCGCTCGGCCTCAGCGAGAACTCCGTATCGCTGTTTCCGTCGCACGAGAACTTCTACGGCGAAAGCGGAAACATGTCCGGTAAATACTGTTCTTTTACCCAAAAATCGGCTAACGCTTGACTACCACCTCACCCGGTTAGTAAGATGTCGACTTAGGCGGTAAACGCACTAGCTCGGTAGTAACCTATTTACCCTTTCCTCGAAGTCACATTAAAATCCAGTTTTTTGCTGCATTACGAAAGGTGTATAGGCGAATCTCTTCGTTTAAAAGCGTGGAATGTCAACAACAAAGGGATGGACCCCTGCAGTTCGTACAGTAATCCGATGGTGGAATGAGCATTGTGTAAAGTTAAAAAGTACTTTGAACAATGCTTCCCAATAACACTAGAAACTTTGAAGAAAGTGATACGTAAAGTGATATCATAACTACGGAGGTTTTTAAATATTTCTACGTTTTAGTGTCCCAATTACTTCCAAAGTCCCTTTGCTATTTTTAAGATGACTTTAAAAACGGATAAAGCTGTATCTCATTTTTATAATCATTTTTCCAAAAAATCCATGTATAATCGTAAGACGTAGCAAATCCAGCTTACCTCTCTTATCATCACCGTCATCTGACGTATATTTAATAAGATATTGCGAAATAAATGGAATTACTAAGATATATATATTCCATATTTGATTATCAAGACACTTTATCATGGACTTCGAATATCAAGGGATCTTGAAATTAAATAAAGTGTGGGTGACAAGTGCGTACCCTGCAAACACCTGATATGCAGAACATTGGCGTTGCGCTGGAACAGGCAGTTCCGTCTGGAAGGCTCCAGCCCCTCGACTTGTATCCCCCTCCGCGAGTGTCGCACCACACCGCACACGCGCTGCTCACATCTGCAACAGCAATTCCACAAATGCCAAAGAGAGGTCACGACTGCTGTAGTCACAACTGGCACAACCAATTTTATTGTAATTTACTTTTTTCTTATGAACAATTTTATTTTTAGTGCCAGTATATGTACTCAAAGTAAAACTTAAAATATGACTTTTTTGTAGGGCAATTGTACTAGCCTTTTTATTTTACTAGACATGGCTGAAAATGCAATAAAGAAAGCGAATAGATGTGAGCCTCTGTGTGCCTTTCAGCTTACTTGGTAAGCGTAAATACATGAATTTCACTTGTGCATACAAAGACCCACATACGAAACAATTATCTTTGGGTCACACAAGTACTTGTCTTATTAACTGAGCCACCTAATTATTGGATTGGAGAAATTGTTAATTTTTTATATCATTTACTGCAAGCGCTGCATATTGCAATGTTTAACAAGCAAGATGCAGCGCTTGATTATATATTTTCTAACAGAAGATAATGTTTTGAACTATCTATATCCAACACTGCTCGACGCTGTGATGACAATTGCTGCACTCTAAGTGGCAATGCAGATGATGATGGTAATTGCACTAGGTCCATAGAAGACTGTTCATTATTACTTTGATAAACAGAGCGTTTAAAATGTTACACAAGGAAAAAATTTAATTACTTTAGATGTTGTGGTGAAGGATTGCTGAATTCTTATATGTGTTCCTTCACATCATTCATAGTCTTAAGATTTTTGGTGTTTGTCCACGGGAGATTTCTGTTTGTGAAACCGTCACAACACAAGATAGTGTTATCCTACAGTGACGGAAAGGCCAAGTGTGAGTCGGACTCGCACGAAGGGTTCCGTACAATTATCTATAAAAACGACAAAAGAATCATGTCCTGTTGTATGGGGGCTGTATGGGAGCCCCCCATACAGCAGATATGATTCTTTTGTCGTTTTTATAAAATTGAAAATTTCAACTGTCTATGAGATAGAGCCTGGTGACAGACGGACAGACGGACGGACAGACAGACAGACAGACGGACGGACAGACGGACAGACAGTAAGCGGAGTTTTAGTAATAGGGTTCCCGTTTTGCTCTTTGGTGTACGGAACCCTAGAAAGAACTTACCATCGGAGTCGATCCTTTGAAGTCCCGTTCCTATCAGGTCGGGGTCTACATCTCGTGCACGGAGGCATATCTGGTCTGCAAACTCCCGCACGGTCATACGTGGCACTTTATTGCACTGTCAACGGGATTTCTCATGATTAGGAATGACTTCAACGGTTTCTTATGATGTCTTAATAGAGACACAACTTTCCTTATGGTTTTTCTCAGATGTTTTATCTACATTAACATTTTAGGCTTTTCCATTCACGTGGAATTGAAAAGCCATTCATTTTTACTATGAAAATTATTATACAAAATTAATTCAAGTTGTATGTATTGATAATTCTGTTTTGTTATTGATAATCAAATACGAAAATACAACCATGAACCAGCATATTATATTTCGTTACACGTAAGTTTTCATTTTCGTATATACGTACATACGTAAATACGTTTCATATTTTAGTGCGGCAAATGAAAGGAGTTAGTTACAACATTTACTTGCTAATAAATTACCAGACTATTCTAGTCCCACTGCTGGGCCCCATCTGTATAGAGTTTTAGGACTTAGTGCACGACGCGACATCTTCCCATGTTTTCGAAATATATATATTTTTTGTCATTATTTCTAAAGATAATCATCGCCGGGCACGTGATAGGTCAGCACATAATTGAGATTTTGAAAAAAAAAATACTTAAGGTATTATTTAAAAATATTAATTTTAATGCAAAAAAACTAGAATTTTTTTTTTTCAAAAACCCAATTTCATTGGTGCTTTCACCGGGAATCGTACTCGGGTTGCTCGCGAGTATAATAAAGAATTAAAAGCGAAAAAAATTAAACCGCACACAGACATCACGGCTCTTATTAAAATAAAACAAATTAAGACTCATTTGACCTTACAATTTCATTCATTTTCACGGCAGGCCAAAGGTCTTGTACATTTCCAGGGTGGCTATAATCCCTTAACATCATTGAAACCATCCGCTCGCTTACCATTTTCTAACGTAAAAAAGATTCGAATTTATAAGTCCGAACCGGCAAAAGTTACCTGTTGTGCATGACAGGATTGGTACTTCTTGTCGTGGCCGGTGCAGTAGCTGTTCCCGTTTTCATTCCTAACGTAAAAAAAAATTACATCTGCATTGAGTATTCCGAAAATCTTATCCTCCCTCATAAAGTCTTAGCCTGTGACAATTTGTATACTTGTCTACTTTCGGTAGCGGTAAAACGAAGCTTTGTGGGGACTAAGTGTAGGGCATAATGGTTACATAAAACATTGTAACGTCTAATATGCCCTAACACTGTCACTAGCATTATCCTCACAACAAGATGCAACTCTATCATTATTTAGGGCCGACCGCTTACGGTCAGTTTGTGTGAGTAAGAAAAGATAAAAGTTGCCATCGTTTCCTCAACTATATCTCACACGATTAGCTCTAACCATTACTAGATTTTATGTAGCCCTTCCGATATGTACTATTGAATCAGAATATTTTTTACGATGGTATGACCACGCAGCAGCCTCGGCTGTTGCACGAATGGGCAGGCTCGTCCTGTTAAGTACCATGACCTCACAGAAGACCGGCGTAAAGTGAAAGTATAATACTTTCGCGTTTCGTCTTGTGGTGGCCGGAGACCAATTTCCAAAAGATTGTCAACGCATCCGGAACCCTCGGGTGTAGCAGATGTCTATGGGCGGTATTCCCTTAACATCAGGTGAACCGCCTGCTCGATTGGCAATTTGACATAAACGCCACTACGAACGTCACTTTGCCGATTGACCGCGACTCTTACGACAATTATTACTAGTATTAAGAGTATATCACCAACAATACGTGTCTCACTCAAACGATTCTAGACCGATGCATCCCTCAGGGTAAACATACCTCGGGCGGTAGCAGCGCCGCGTGGCGACCGCCACGCCCGCGCAAAAACCGGGCGGTAATCTCGTAAATATGTATGACATTTGATTTTGACTTTTGACCGAGCATTCGCGAAATCCGGGTTTCAATCATAACGTTGTATGAGCACCTCGGGCGGTAGCAGCGCCGCGTGGCGACCGCCACGCCCGCGGCGGCCGGCGCGTGAGCGTCGTCCAGCAAGCAGGCGGACGCGCACTCCGACCAGCGCGACCAGCGGCCCCAGGAGCCGCGCTGCACGCTGCCCTCGCGCTCGACGCACGCGCCGCCCCTGCAGTGCTGCAAGGCGACCGTGTACGCAGCCCGTCTCGTGGCACGGCAGTATACAGGGAGGCTTTTTAAACGTGCCCAAATTTACACGGGAGGTTCACACTCGGTAGTATAATAGTTCATTGAAATAAAAATATAACCATTTTACTCCCTAGAAAAACAGAACTTGTTGACAACGCGGTAGTCGTTCATTAATACCTAAATTTTACATTTCACGCACACAAACGAACTTGTGTGCATGTTACTTTATGAGTTGCGTATAAATCGCGCACTTTTTGAGATAAGTTCAAATGAATGTAATTAATATATTATAAATAATGTTGTATAAAAATCCTCCCTGTATAAGTCACTGCTGGGCGTAGCTCAGTGGGTAAAGTGATAGCCTATACTAGTCCCACTGGGCGAAGGCGTTCTCCGTAAATAAGGGCATTTTGTATTTTCTGAAGGGATTGAGTTGTACGCCCCAACGACCGCTGCCTAGATCGAATCGAAGAAGATCTATTGTATTCTTTCCTTTGAGAACATTGCCCCCATATGAAATTTTCATGATGATTGGATTACATTGAACTGTGTTGTAAGTCGCTGCTGGTCAAAGGCCCCCCGCGTGAAGGATCATCCTTTTCGACTTTTATGTCCGAAGCTTACTGGAATATTGTTCTTCTGTTTGGAGCCCCTCTTACAGTGTTGTGAATACTGAACACATTCTATAGAATTGCAAGAACAATTTTTGTACCATTTATATTTTGCTAATAGTCTATGCCATGCTTTGAATTCTTACAACCATAGTTTACGTTACTTTTAAACGAAAACTCATTTCAAAAGGCACAGAGACACGGATATTACTTTTCTGTATAAAATATTGCATGGGATAATCGTTGCCCTTGAACTTAAATACATGGGAATTCATTTTTAGAAGACAGTGAAAGTAGCTAGTCCCATAGACAATATATATTTCATTCTAGACGATCTCAGATTGTGGCAGCTGACTAGTTGTGTGGCCGAGTGAGTTAATATATAAATTATGTAATCTTTCCTAAAATACGAAGAACAAAAGCCTCACCAAATCATCACCACATCTGGTCCCCTCCAGGGCTGGGTGAGAAGTCCACGTATATCTCTCTCTTTGGCAATGCAGATCTCTGCAGATGTCCTCCAGATTTTGTACTGCTGAGTGGCGGCTTCCACTACCGTATTTCAGCATGCCTGAAATGGATTTTAGATAATAAGGTATTGACTAGATTTTGTCCATCCCTACCAAGTAGTATTAATTTTAGCTTTAAACTTGAGGTACGAACCATCGTCCCGAAGTATTATCATTGTATCTTTTACAAGTTACCAGACAGAGGAAGAAGATAGCGGTTATTACGCTTCCTAGATCGCTATCTTCTACCATAAAGTATTCTAGCCATCTCACAAGTTCTAATACAATTTATAATGTAACGTTTCCGTCTATATATTTCCGGTTTCCACTCATCAATTCTAATACTGCCTTTAATCTTCACTGAAAATCACAAATGACTAATAAAGATAACTTACATTGTTGGTCAGCGTCAAATCGCTCACCGGGTAGAATCCCTTCCGCGCTGTGGTCTAACTGACCAGCGGAGTTTCCGTGGTCCAGCAGACATCGAGATTGTACTGTGCTGTGATGAAGCAATGTTAGTTTATTTATATAATTTCTTGTTCTGCTAACTTATATTTGGAATAAGAATATCGAGACAGAAAGAATATTCAACTCTTACTCTAGAAATTTTTGTAGATAATTCTTGCTGCATTGCGACCAGGTGATTTTGCCGCTACCCAGTGTTGGGCTCATGATATACGCGCTTGGATCGCATCCGTTGTCAGCTAATGGACCATCGTGCCGCATGCCTAAGCTGAAAGTAAGCAAAAGTTTTTTCAAATGTATTGTTACATTTTGGAGAGGAAACTTCGATGCTCTTCCCAATTTTGTACATACTTTAAGCCATTTGCTTACTGCTAGAATGAAAAGTTATAATAATATTGGCATCTCGGTATGAATATCTTTTGTAAAGTAACAGCCTATAAATGTCCCATTGATGGGAAAAGGTCTCCTCTGTACAGAGGGTATCAGGGTATAGTCCACGACGCGGCTCCACTGCAGATTGGCGGACATCGCATGTTATCTTCGAAATATTTTTTTTGTTATTATTTTGAATATGCAGGTTTCCATACGATGTTTTCCTTCACCGCTGAGCACGTGATAATTCAGCACTTAAAATTAACAATTCCATTAGGGGACAAAATCAGGTTGTTCGAGTATATGGAATTAATAGCGAGCGACCGAAAAATTATTTAGAATTTTATAATTCTGTGTGCTAGAAGTGTAAATTCATTTATTGCTTACTTATGTCCGATTTCATGTGCCACAACATAAACGCTCTCGAAATGTCTGCCTTCGTTAACCGTGCAACTGCTAGTGACTGTACACATTCCGGCAACTGGTGCTAATCCTGTAAGATACAAATATTATCTGCTAGTTCATTTAATTTCTAATCATTAACTGTTTATGAAGCGTTTAAACTTAACGTTTCAAATAATTCGCAACGAATGCTCTATCTGTTTTACCACAGTCCATTAACTGACATTAGACGCGGTGGCAAAGAGAGCATTACTTATTTGATTGATGAGCATAGATCAATCTTTACACGATATGGCGACAATTATTCTTACTTTCGTATCTAATATTAGCTTTATCCCCGGTTTATCTGCGCTTTAGTATGAATCAGTTGCATTGTGGTTTTTCTTTGTTTTTGCGGCATTTATCTACAGTAACATTTTGCTAGATAAAACGGCATATAGTTAATTCTTTGGTTTTTGGAGTCTTACTGTACTTATATTATCTATAATAATGGAAAAGAAATCTCGAAAACAGCTCCCAAAGAATCTTTTAAAACAGTTATAAATATAAGCAATTATTAGCTTGGTTAATTTAATACTGATTTAGAAACTTCGGTAATGAACTCACCAACAACTTGACTACTGACTTTGCCATTCTTGTTAACGACGTACAGATCCAACCCAGTTAAAATCAAAGCATGATCCCAGTGCAAGGGATCATTGTCGCCCAGTGGATTTTCCAGCCTCTGCCATGTACAGAAATTGCTTAGGAATCTGTCTATATCGTGCGGTCTTTTTAAATTGACTGGATCTTCGTGTAGGATCTCCAACCTTTTTAGAATGAAGTTCACCGGTCTACCTAAAGAAGGGTCGTGGTAAATTAGTTGGACAGCGTTTATCATCGCCAGGACGAATCTCACTAATTCCCTCTCCGTATCCTTTGGGAAGTTAACAGTCATATGCTTGTACAAGTCTCTATCGACGAACACAGCCGTTTCTACAAATATCGCTGGTGAAACAGACCTCCTTGGTCTAGTAGGCTCAGGTAACAATTTTTCCACGAGTGTACCTATTGTTTTGTTTCTCTTAGCTAAATTAAATTTGAAATCTTCTAGTGTAACATTTCTACTAACATCAGTTGTGTCTCTTTTTCTTCTATGTTTGGTCCAGGTTTGTACGGGTTTGAATGATATTATTGTTTTGTTAATATTGTCTCTTTCTGCACAAGTGTTTATTTCATTGGCATCGTCAGTAGCAGAATTTACATCGTCTATGTTTCGTTTGACGATGACATGTGGTTTCGTTTCGTCACTATGAAATCTTTCAGGTAGTGGATGTATGTAATAATAGGTACCGTCTGCCTTAAATAGACCTCTCTGAAAGTTAAGATATAAATGAAGATGTCTGTATTAAAGAATATATTCGATATATTCAAAAAATTTATTTAGCGTTATTGGAAATGGAGAAATTTCACTTATAAAAACAGCACCAGTACAACGTTAAAATCGCATGGAACAGCTAGTTACATACTTTGATGAAATGTTTGACGTTTTAATACCACATTGCCCAGACATATCTTCAGCTTATAGAGCAACAGTTCAAAATATTTTTTCTCGCATATTATGTAATATTTTTTCAAAAACAAGAACTAATAAAATGTGATGTTATTACCATATCACCACAAGCATACAGAGCCGCCCTGTTACTTCTATAATAACAGAGATCTATTTCTTCGTCGGCGTGTTGATCGAGTACAGCCTCTGTACCATTCATCCATCTCCTCATAAGTAGGAACTGTGGATCTAACAATGAATTTCTAGGACTTAGATTTAAATTTAAATGCTTCTTGAGTGAGCTTAGATCGGGATTGTCGTGATATAGCGAGCGCTTTCGACGTTTCGGTTGCCTTAGATTCAGTATGTCGAATTGTGCATCTGAAATTTAAGAACACAAGCGATGAGTATTTAAGCGGCAACGTCATGTTTTTTAGAATATATTCGCCAATTGGTAAAACATGGTTATGTTCGTTTTCGGAAGTCTATTCGATTTTGAGTGTCCTGCCTGTAAATTTCTTGATTCCCTTTAACGTACAATCATAACAAAAGCACATTATATGGCGATGGTTAAATAAGCAAAAAAGAACGGCGTTTTTTGCTAGTGTTTAGTACCGCTACTTTCTTAATTGATTGTTTTAAAACACACGAGATCTTATCTTTCAATTCTGTTAAGATATTGAGAAACTTATAATAACTTTTAACGTTAACGTTTTTGTTAACTAAAAGTACTTACTGTCAGGATTTGCGCCGATCAGGAACAATCTCTCAGACTCCGTTAAATGCTCCAATAATTGTTGAGAGTGTTCCTGAAACAAAAAAAAACACATTTTAAATTAATATACCTCATTGATTTAACAAACGTAAAAGTTGTAAGAATTCTTTGTAATTAATCAAGTATCAATGTTTACATATTATATACAATCATTGGGGTCATCTATTAGAGACCTCGTTTTCTTTTATTAAAAAAAATATTTCTAACTAAAAATTTGAACAGCAACATTGTAAAGATCACCAACATTATATTAAGGTTGAAGTACGATGCCGGCTCTGATAATTTAGCTAGCGAAATATGCAAAGTTCAAAATCCTAACTTATAGCTTCGTTATAAAATGCATGCATCGACTATTGTCTCGAAGCGTTGCTATATTAACTCATAGGTTAAAACGTGTCTTGGCACGCCCCACTCAATCCGCTACCTTGAAATGGAAATGACAATGTTGTACGCGCAACCTTTTGTTAGAAAGTGTAATAATGCCAAATCGAATACAAGACTTATTAATGATCTCCTCCATCGAGACGCGTTTTGATTGTGCTAAGCGCAAACTTTACTGAAGCCTGCAAGACTTCAGTAGTCTTTGTGCGTAATTTACTGGCACTATGTTGAACCCGATGACTTATGTTTCATATGTATAGCCTCCGTTTTATATTAAAATAAATTATAAAAAAATAAATAAACCTCTTTATTACCACATCAACATATTTGACATTTTAAATAGGTTAACGTTAGTTTATTAATTATGTTATGTCAACCGAGAACCAGAGAAGCGACATCCATGGACAATTGCAACACCCGTAAACTTGCAGATGCGTTGCCAGCTTTCAATAAAGTGGGTCCCGGCTACCTCACTGACCAGATGAAACGCAGAATTATTCCTACTTCTTCACGCTGGACATCTGTGAGGTCGTGGTATTTCACCGGACGGACCTACTAATTGCTAGGGCAATTTGACTGTGGTAGGCCACAGTCAAATGGTGATAGAAAAATAGCATAATTTTGAAATTGGTTGTAAAACAAGATGCATTCGGTCATTTACACCATCTAATCATTCACTAGTAAAGAATACAGTCGAGGTGTAATCATTAAATAATTAGAAAATAGCTTTGAGATAATCATATACCTTCCAGTGTAAAACACACATGTCTGATTACCTGGAGGTATGTCGCAATAATTATTCGTATAATTAACCGTATAGTTAACTCCGTAAAGTTACAACTAAATAAAACCTAGGAATGATCGCTAAGCCTCACGCATAGATAACCTCAAATTAAGAAAGAAGAAAGATATTATAAAGACTCACACAACAAAAAACTAAATTTAATAAAAAAAATCGGTGAAGTGTGAGTCGGACTCACGCACAAAGTGTGCCGTACCATTAGCTATAAAAACGGCAAAAAAATCATGTCTGTTGTATGGGCTCAAAAAATCATGTCTGGTATGAGCTTTCTTTTTTGGTATTTGTTGTAGTAGCGGCAAACGAAATACAATACAGCTTGGTGACAGACGGACAAACAGACAGCGGAGTCTTAGTAATACGTTTTACGCTTTGGGAACGGAACCATAAAAAAGAAAAGAAAAAAAAAACTTGATTTGAGACAGCAGAGGCTTATTAATTCTCATAATTGATTATAATATTAATAATAATAATGTTTAGCACTATCCGTTATTTGCTTGTTTTGAACCGACTTCAAAAGAGGGGATTTTTAATTTGATTGTATTTTTTTTTAATTCTTACCTCAGAACTCCGTCACTGATTTGGATAAATCTTTTGGAAAAGATTGTGTTTCCATTTGGAACCCCATTTTAAAAATTCGCATTGAAACTTGCATTTCGAAGGTATACCAGCCAGATCCTCAAAATTATGAGACGTTTGATGTAGGTTTTATTTTTCGTTAATAAAAATTTTGTCGGATTTCCATCAAGATAATCGAATTTGATTTTGTCTGTCTACCCTAATTGGTAAGAAGACGCGGCATTCTGTGATAACCTCATTTTTCGAATAAACACTGCTTGGTGCTATTGTCTAGCTAGCCACTGTTTAACTTAAGGCAGCCTCGACATATAACTTTTGACAATAGATAATTTTCACACGCCGCCGCGGGCTTAATCGAAAAGCAACGGAACACAATCGCATAACAAATGACAGGTCCTCATAATGTGATTACGCTTCGAGGGAATTTACCGATAAACGATGTTGAATAGTTCGATTTGTTTTTAATTTGATTAAACGATGTAATATCCATGCCTTCTCTGTTAATTACGATTTAGTTCATCGTCTGTTGATGTCAAAACGCAAGGCATGTCCAAGATCTGAGACACTAGAAAGACGGTAAAAGTTCTTAATTTTTAAGTTTATGACATTGGTGCTCGAAAGAAGGACAAAAAATCGGCCTCATCTTTAGCGGCCCAATTTATGACATAGTGAACTCTAAAACTGAAATGGTCATAAATGGTCTGTGGTTTATAGTTTAAATTTCGTCATTTGTGCAGATTGGGCTCAAAAAGCATTCATATTACTTAAATTTTGCTTACTATATAACCACACTTGCAATACGGTTTAACATTTGATTGCCTTGTATACATCAAATGTAATAAGTAGTTAATGAAACGCCCATAATTATGTTAGAATCGTGGCCTGTCCTCAAATATTTCATATTGTTTATAATACATAATAAATAGGTAGTTTTTGAACAAGTTATACCGAAGTAACGAAGTAAGGATTTAACCGTTATATTCACATAAACCTATCATCAAATGACTGCTACATATATAATTGCGTAGTCATTCAGCGTGTTCGTTTTCATCACATTATGCGGCATAAATATAACTTTCTATGGAAAGTTATTTGTCATGACATGTAATACTGGCATAGTCGATAACGAAAGTACAGATTAAGGATTATTACAATTGTTTTTTATTTGTTGTTAAGTGAGTGTATGTTAGTGTGTATGTTTATGTTAGTTATTGACTACGGCATAGTCAAAGGTTCGATTTACGGGACAATATACAGTAATTAAGTAAATTTTCTATTGTTAATTAAGTTTCGTTATTGTTAGTTCAAATTAGGAAAAAGCAGCGGGTAGTTATTCCTTTGTAGACTGATTTGGGTCCGTGATGGCTCATTGTCCGGGCTCGCTTATAATACAATTTTTATCACGGGTATAGCCTAGATTCCCACAACACAGTTTGTCCTAGTGCGGAAAGTAGTACACTTTATCACTAGTAGTACACGTTGTCCTATTCAATACAAACATTTTCATATGCTGTTTCGGTTTTTAAGCGCGCGAAAAAAACAGTTTGAGGCATTGACACTTCAGCTATTCAGCTATTCACGATTAGTGTTATTCAAAGCTCTGCTCGCCGCGTGACCGAAGAATCATCGGGAATTTGGCCAATTTGGTTAAAGGCCATCGAGACTAAGCTACACGATTTTGACGATGTGTTTTGGTTAGGTTTTGCGCGGTTACACACACTGTGTTCGTATATTATAAAGCAAGTGCGAATTAATGTATTGAATATTGCTACCACATTGCCTTTCCTTTTTTGTGCTTTGTCGATTATATTGAATATTATTATTCTTTTGGTTACATCATCAAATTATTCCGAGTCCACTCCTGGCCTCGGC